TAGTTTAAAGCCTGAATAAATATTTGCAGCAATTAAACTTGTAAATTGGTGCTTCTGATGCTCACATTCACTTGCAGTATTGACCACTGGATGTGAGATTCTCCTTCAGCTGATGGAAGTATGAGAAGCCTGAGCCCTGTTTTCCCCCAAGGCAGGGAAGAGAACACAGTTCTAATCAGTAATTACAAGATTTGTCACCCTGAAGAATGAGGTGTTTATCTGATGGTGCTGTCAGCTCAAAGCCCAGCTCAAGCTGCCTGGTGAGGACCTGAGGACCGGCAGGCAGCAGAGGGTGCTGTGATGCTGCTCTGTGCACAGCTCAGACGAGCTCAGAAAGACCTGGCTGGGAAACCCTGCATCGCTCCTTGGGAATCTCTGCCAATTCCTATGTTCCCACACTGCCATGAACTTGCTCCTGTTCTGTTCCTGGAGTTTAACTTGACATCATTCTTGACGGGGATTCAAAAATTGCAAGCACTATATTCCGAGAAGTGATTATTGCATGCGCAGCTTAGTCCCGTGGGTATGAGCCAGCTCCCCAAATTACAAAAAAAATCCTCTATTGGTTCTGACACCTCATTGTCATTGTCAGACTGTGGAAATGGCCTTCTAAGTGGATTCCATCCATGACTGCCAGGAGCATGTGGGACCCCACAACTCCTGTGCTATGTGATATTTTTATTAATGCTATTTGTAACAAGCATTGGCAGAGCGTGGAAGAATCGTGGTGTGTAGTGCAAAGAGGGTGAGAGAGGCCTGAGAACAGTCTAACAAGGGTCACTGAACAATTTCAGCCTTTGTTTTCAGGCTGGAAAGGACATGATGTTCTGGTCTCAAACTACAGCGAAGAAAAATGCTGCAGCAGTGAGAAAGTGCTGGGAGATCACCTGGAGAGTGAGGAATTCTGTTCCTAGAGTGAGTGGTGATCTTCTGTGTGGAAGTTGATGACTCTCCCCAGCCCTCTTTTCTGTGTTTTCTCTGAAAAACCACTTGCTCTTACCCCAAGGGCCTCTCCCTTCCCTCATAGAAAGCCGAGATGGGAACTGTTACTCTTGCTCATCAGGGTGCTCCTGTGAGCAAACGCTGTTCATCCTTAGGGACAGCACATCCTCTTCTGGGACCTGCCTCTTAAAGACCAGCCAGTTCATATTCCACTCACCCGGGTGATCCAGGGTTGACTTGGCTCTGGAAGGTGGACACCACTGCCCATGTGGATCATCCCTGAGTCATCCTGACCTTTTCCTCCCTGTGCTGCTGCTAAGGAGTCCATCTACCAGCAGCAGGATGAGTTCACATCTTGCCTTCACAGACTGCTGTTGCAGAATTGCACACAAAGCAAGCTCCTTCCTCTTTCTCCTTGCAGACAGGCTGTCATCCCTCTCTCTGTGTTGCTCCTTTGCTTCTCTCCAGCCTCATGCCCTCTGAGCCAGCAAGGTCTGTTGGCTCCTGTGCTCCAGATATTTGTTCTCTTTTGCTGGAGGCAGCTGCCAACTACCTGTGTCCTTCCCAGAGCATCCCTGGCACTTGTGCTCCAGCCTCAGGAGTGTGTATGGAGCTTGAGGCTGGCACCCTGAATTTACCATTGTCACATGTGCTCCCAGCCTGCTGCTCTTGGTGTTGGGGACTGTGGTGGGGATGCAGTCCTGGCATGGGGACAGCTTTGCTGAGTCCTTGGTGGCAAAAATCACAGGTCAAACTGTTTTATTCGCACAGCTCCATGGGCAAAAGACAGGCCCAGGTGCAAGACTCAGCTATGTTTTGTTATTTCTGGTTCTCTGCACTCTCTGGACTCTTCTCCCACCTTCCTGCAAGGCATTTTCAGGAGTAGCAGGGTCAGCTTTTTGAAGGGGCTCCTGGCACAGAGGGGAGCCCACCCTGGGACTGCACTGAGGCATTTAGCCCAGGGTAGAAAGCAGATTTCACACCAAAGAGCACTTTGAATCAGGAGTGATACCTCTCCTGGGAGGAGAAGGCTTTGTCACGCTGAATTACACCCAACAGGGTTCAGACATGGAGTCTGCAGGAAGGAACTGGCTCTTAAAAGGATGGGAAAGGGCTAATGGTGGCCATTACCTCCAGGCCTGGTCCTAAAAGCAAAGCAGAGGTGTGGAAGTGTGTTACCTGCTGGGGCCATAATCCAGAGTGCTCTCCCTGGGGAATTCACAGAAGGAAAAATCAGTCCCCCTCAGCTGAAAAGTGGGAAAGAGTGTCCAAAGAGCCAGCTTTGTGGCTGGGCTGTGGAAGTTGGGGATGCTGTGGGTGTTGGGGTTCACAGACCAGGGGGGATAGAAGAGAGGGACTATTAAGTAATCCTCCCTACAAGTGTGAGTCAGTCCTGCATCCTGTGGTCAAAAAGGAAAGGGGTACAAGCTGACCCCAGAATTAATCTTGTACCAGTAAATTTGAAAGGGAAATTCCAGAGAAAGAGGAAGTCAATAGAAAAAGCCTGAAAATTTAAAATAGTGTTTATACAAATCTTTCAACTCAGCAGCCCAGGAAGCTCTGAAAGACTTGCAGGAGATGATCAGAGAGAAGTGTCTGAAGGAAACTGAAACCAGAGAAATAGAAACCCCTGATGATCCCAAAGGAGATTTGTTGTTCTTAGGCATTACAGAGATGTTGACATGTTCCTGGGGATGTGGCAGCAAGGCTGGAATGCTGGGATGGGTGGTAGCTGGGATGGGTACATGCAGTGAATGTGAAGAGTAAAATGTTAGTTGTAAACGTTTAGTTTGTTGTAAAACTAAATTCATTCCTGGGGAACTGGAGCAGCAAGAGGTCAGCTTAGGAGACTGGGGTGTCTGCACTACCAGAGACTCTGCCTCGACCCTGCTCCTTCAGGGCAGAGAAAGAGGGGCTGTTAGAGATGGGAGTGTCCAGAAAAGGAGATTCTGGAGGAGATTTGGAAGAAGTGCTATTATTCCAGACTGAATGGTGGAGCTGAGCAGGCCAGAGCAGTTTCAGAGGGAAGCAGTTAATCACATACCAAAAAGCCACAACCACTGAAACCACCTGCAGTCCTGGAGGGGAACAAGTGAATCTGGTGCTTGTCCTGGGAATGGGAGCAGGCAGCTGCCACCTGCCCGGGCTCACGGGGGTTGTGCAGCCCTGTAGAACACTGGATTCCAAAACAACGTTGCTGTTAGTGACACCTTTTGAAACAGGACTCTGAACCACCTCTGTGAATAGGCTCTTGTAAAGACAAACCATTCACACTGAGAGAGAAGATCCCACCTCCATTCTGGATGGGTTCTGGATTGTGCTGGTTGCACAGCAGGACTGATATCCACATGAGCGTGGTTGATTTTTGTCTGCCCTGCTGGGGTCAGAAACCTGCATGACAAAATTCTTTCATGTGGAAACCTAATTTCCCCTCTGTTGGTATTCCCAGCCAGTTTGTAGCCGTGTGTCCCCACTCCAGCAGTGCCCACTGCACCTCCTTCCAGCCCCGGGGCTGACTCTGGTGCCTTCACATGGATCAGTCCCTCGTTTCCCCAACCCCTCAACCCAAGCTCTTCACATTTGACTCTTCTCATGCTGTTTAACACCAGGGGCATGGCACAGTCCTGTGATGTGTATTGTGGGTCTTTCCCTGCCCCAGACGTTTCCAGCTGACAGGCTCCCAAACTGGAATGGCCACTGCTGCTGTCCCTCGTTCCCAACAGCACACTCACACAGTCTGCTCTGCTGACTCGAATCCCTTCTCTGTTACTCCAGCCCTCAAGGTCATTATAATCTTTCTCTGTGATATCCTGGCCTGTTCTAGATTGATGATGCCATCTCGTTTTGCCTCATCAGCACATTGCCTTTGCCTTCTCCTGCTTTTTGTGCCAAGATCATTAAGGCAAATGTTAAGCAGAGTAATTTTTGAGGCAGAAACTCGAGGAACTGTACGGGTAACCCCCCTTTCAGCTGAAGCAATTATCCTGCTCCTTTCAGGCAGCTCTTCACCGAATTTACTTTTCGAATGCCAGTCACATCTTCTCTGCCTTATCTAATAATTTACTATGTGGCATCATTTCAAGTGCCTTCCTGAAACTCAGACAAGAGAGATCTACTGAATTTCCTTCATCACAAATATCTCTGAGCTTATAAAAGGAAGCTATTAGGTTAATGTTGGTGTGCGTCAGGATATTTAAAGTATGTCAAGATAATAAATTAAAACAAAGATAGTATCAGCTGTGTTGATTCTTTTATGGATTTTTGATTTTTTGGGGGATATTTGATGACGGATTCAGTGTGAGAATAATGTTGATAGCACACTGATGTTTTAGTTGTTCTTAAATAGTGTTTACCCTGGCCAAGGACTTGAGGAGCTGCACAAAAAGCTATGAGGGGGCATATTTGGGACAGCTGACCTGAGCTGGCCAAAGGGATACTCCACCCCATAAAACATCATGCCCAGAAGGGCCAGTTGGGGTTTGGGGACAGGGTTTGGCATCAGTCAGCACCTGCCGAGCAGCTGGATTGTGCATCACTCGTTCTTCTTGCGTTTTCTCACTTTTAAATGACTATTATTATTATATTTCACTTTGTTTCAATTATTAACCCATTCTTAACTCACAAGTTTTATTCTTGATTCTCCTCCCCATCTCACTGGGGTGGGGGGAAGTGGTTGAGTGGCTGAACCCAGTGGCCAGTTGGGCTTAGACCACGACAGCACCGCTCAGGGCCCTGGATGAATTGTCACCTCCATCCCACATGTCCTGCTGGAAGCACCAGCTGGAGCAGCAGGACCAGACTCTTTGGCTCATCAATCTGCAAGGGGGTCCCCGTGGATCCCTTCTCCCACATCAGGGCTCCAGCAGGGAGGCCTCAAAACTGACTCTTCACTGACAGACACGCTGATATAATTGAAATTATCTTTATTTTAGTGTATTATTTCGACATAATATAAATTATTTTTGTGCTTTCTTTTTTCTTCTTTTTTTTTTTTTTTTTAGAAAAAGGTTATTTAGTTTAACTTAAATAAGTTAAATAAAACAATTTTCCCCCTTGAAGGAGGCTGTAGGTCAAGAGCTCTCTTGTGTGCCTGAGGCTGGAGGCCATGCAGTGGTGGGACCGTGGGCATCGCCGGTGGCAGCGAGGAAGAGTCAGGTCAGTTCTTTGGGGTCTGGAAGTGCTTCAGGCGCTCCTGCACCCAGGGTTCCCGGGGATCCACACACAGCTGCTTCCCCTTCTTGGTGACCATTCTGCCAGGAGAAAAAACCCGTGTTGAGGTGCTGCACAGAGGCCACGAGGTGCCCGCGCTGGGTCCCACCAGCAGCACCCTGAGTGTCCCCAGCCACGTCCCCAAGTCCCTCCCGGCCACCCCGAGCCCCTGGCAGTGGTGGGTACTCACATCACCCCCGGGTTGGTGCAGATGCTGCTGGTGGTGAAGGTGGAGTTGATGAGGCGAAGAGGGATGGGGCGTTGTTGGTAGGTGAAGCAGCAGGTGGTGGGAACGCCATCTGTGAGGGCAGAGGGACAGACAGACAGCCCTGGTGAGACCCCAGCTACAGCACAGGCTCTGGCCCCACTGGCACATGGTGTTCCCCAAGGATTTGCCATCTCCCACCCTCCCCTTGTGTCCTGTTCCCTGGCAGTGGCTCTCAGGGAGAACCTCGGCCCCAAGCCTGCATCCCACAATGTGACACAGACTCCTCCCTCCAACCCTCCATCTCACACTGGGACAAAGTCTCCTGCCCCCAACCCTCCATCCCACACTGGGACAAAGTCTCCTGCCCTCAACCCTCCCCACAGCCCCACGAGGGTCCCGCTGACAGGGATGGGGCTCTCCAGCAGCTCCCATGGAATGATGTCCCCCCCAGCCCCGGGAGGACACAGCGACTCACCGAGATGGGCCTCGGACGGGGAGCAGGAGGCCACGAGGAGCAGGGCGAGCAGAGAGGCTGCCAGGACCTTCATGGTGCTGTGGGGCTGAGGGCTCTGTGAGCAGGGCTGGAGCTGGGGAGGCTGCAGGGCTCTCTCTGCACGATGCTCCACCGCTGTGGCCATGCTCTCCTTTTATCCCCGTGCGCTGGGCGGGCACAGGGTTTCAAGGAAAGAAAGTGAGCGCATCATACCGGGGAAATTATGTCAGGACCGGCCAGTTTTGCTGAGCTGGAAAAGGAAAGGAAACCGCAGAAGGGGAAGGGACTGCTGGCCACGAGGCTGCAACTTTCAAGATGCTCCTTGGGTGCCTGGTGGGGACTGGTTGGAGCCCAAATGCCGACAGTGACTCTGCCACTGCTGCAGGGGCTGCACAGGCCATGAGACAGCTTGGGCTTGTGAAGCTCTGATGTCAATCCCAGAGCCAGAGCTCTGATGTCAATCCCAAGCAGGCAGCTGTGAAGGATCAACAGCAAGCAGACCCTGGGCAGGGATGTGCTCTGCAGCAGCCCCAGCAGCATTGCTGTGTCAAGGGCTGTGGAGATGGAGACCCCAGGCCAGCTCAGGGGCCCTGGCATGGACACCCCCAGCCACTGCTGCTGTTGCTGGCAGAAATCCACTGCCAGGAGGCAGATCCCAACTTCTACCCAGGTTTACCACAAATACCAGTTCTCTCCCTGCTGCACCACAGGATCCAGAGTTCTCTCTGTCACGATGCATCTCACATGTTCATCTCCACTGATTGCTGTAGGTCTTGCTTGGACATTTAGGGAAGGAAGGATCATGTAGGAACAAGGTTGTGTTGAGTCACTGTGGGCCTCACATTTGTCCCTTTTTGCTGGTATTAAGGTCAAAAGCAGTGTTCCCATATGGGAAAGTTTGCAGACCCATGGAGTCCCTGCATGTGCAGGCACTGGACTCTGTTGCCCTGCTCTGGGGCTGGAGCAGTGGGCTCAGCCACCCTCCCTGTCCCTGGGCTGAACACAGGATTTACACCTCTCTAAGGATTTTAGTTTGGGCTGCAGCCTCTTAATGGCCAAGCTGTTGCAATTACTGCCAGCCCACTTCTGCCCAAACAGGATAATTTCATCCAATTTAAGGTCTCTCTTCTGACTGAGCCCCAAAAAGCAAAGACTTCCATGTCAGGACACGTGAAGGGACTGAAAAGGGGCAGCATTTGCAATGCCAGAGAGTAATTCTCAAACATGCCCCTCTGTGGCACACCCAGAAAGAGGGAGCTGCCAAACTTGCTCCTTCTTCCATGTTTTTTTTTTCCTTTTCCAGCCTTTCCCTGATGCTGCCCATGGTGCCATGAAAGGTTTGTTTACTTGTCTCCCAGCTACCACACAACCCCCTGGCTTCCCCTGGCCTTCCTGCTGGCCCTGGCTCGGGCATGACTAATTCCTGCTGCCCTGATTCAGGGGAAAAGTCCCACTCACAGAAATGCTGAGCAATGCCAGTGCTTGTCCTCCCATTCCCAGCACCTGCCATGGCCTTTTGCCCAGCAAACCTTCCCCAGCCAACAGGGGCTGCATCGCTGCCAGGTGGGACAGAGGTGGGAATGGATGTAAATCATGCCCTGGAGTGGGTCAGGAGGAGCTGGGCAGTGCTGATCTGGCCTCTAGTGGAAGAACCAATCCAGCTGTTCCAGCTGTTCCAGCTGTTCCAGCTCCCTTCTCCAAGTGCCCAGGTTTCAGCTGTTTCTGTTTCAGCCACTCTCTGTGTGGGGCTACAGAGGAATAAATTCTTTGTATTTAACAGTGACCAGAGTTTTCATCTGTGCCATTTGAGAAGGGCTTGGAGGAGAGGTAGTAGTACCTGCTGTAAAAACTCCTGCTTGTCCCATGTCCCTGGATGCACAAAGGCAGAAGGAAGGGACTCAGTTCCTCAGAGGAATGGAGATCTGCATGAGTCTTTTCTGTTGAGGCCATTGCAGAGGCACTGAGTGGTTTCTCTTAAGCTCAAAGCATCCCCTGTGTGCAGAGGAATCCCAAGTTCGGGGCCAGCCAACAGAAGCTTTTTGTGTTTTCATGAACCTCTCTGCCCATAAACCCTCACGTGTCCCACAGAGACCTGCTCCAGACTCTGCCCTCCAGCCAGCCTGTCCTGGCACCTCTCCTGCCCTCACCAGAGCCAGCTCTGCTTGGTGCATGGAGGAGAAGTGGGAGGGAGGACAACAGTGTGCAACAGGCTTTTATGGTGAAGGAAACCAGAAACTGCTGTCTGGGTCAACCACAGGAACAAGATGCTGAGCTACCTCAACACAGGGTGGGTTTTCTCTGGGGAGGCAGCCCCGAGCCAGGGGTGAGCTGGGCTTGGACAGGGGCCAACAGCCAGGGATGAGCAATGGCAGTGGACAAGACTGGCTTGGTGGGAGCCCCTTTGTTTGCCCAAGCAGGTGAAAAAGGGTGGGATGGGCAGGAGAGTAGCACTGGGAACCCACAAGTACCAGGAGGGTGGTAAGGGATATCCCCCACCCAGGGGGGAGAGAAACTGAAATCAGGGAAGTGATAAACAGAATGATCTGTGGGCACTGGCCTCAGCAGTTACCAGAGGAAGACTTGTCATCCGGCAGGAACCGCAGGAAATCTCACAGTCACGAAGATTATTTCTGATGGAAAAGGCAGCAATATTTCCTCTTTGCTGCAGAAGTGACTGGCCAAGCTTTCGGTTCTCCATTTAGATGAGGGCCGGATGGGACTTCTTACTGGATGCTGATGAAATACTTTCCATTATAACTGGAATCGAGGGCATTTCAACGAATTGCACAGACCTGCAGCTCAAAAAAAGTAGATAGTTTGTGTTTAAGGAATTAAATATAAGGAACTGGTGTAAAGGGAGAGTGAAGAAATGACTTGCAGTTTTATTTCTCCTGTCACGGAAGACCCTTGGAAGCAGGGCAGGAAACATGGGAAACCAGAAACTTCAACTTTGCAAATACAAATTTGAAAAATAAAGGAAAGGAAAAGCCTATTAGTTAGGAAGAGGAGTAAATACCAAAGATACCACTTCTTTTTGGCTTGTCTTTGCATAAACAAGGCAAGAGGTTATGGTCAAGTTCTCAGCACAGTAAAAATTTAGTGCACCCAGGTGAGAAAAGGGAAAAGAGAACAAATAAGTAAGAAGAGGTAGGTAAGGCAGGTGTGATCAAACAAAAAGGCCCCAAAGATATCCCTAACTTCCTCCTGAACCTGGCTGTGGCCATCTCATTAGCAGGAAAAACTCACATGGAGTGGGAGAGGTACCAGAAAGCCAGAGGTGAGCAAACATGGCACTAGTCTTGCATGACCTGATGCTTTTGGCACTGCCTTGCTTGAGTGTCCCAAAGAAAATGAGGGAATTCAAGTCTCAAAACCACATCACCCTCTGGGGCTGTTGTTGATGAACCACAGGGCTCATCCAGACTAGAAGGCAAGGGATGATCTCCATCCCAGAGTGTAAGAGCACAGCATTGCCTCTGGTCCCCAGGCCTGCTGAGGGAAGCCCAGGCTCTGCCTCAGCCTGCAGCCAACCTTAGGGAAGCCTCTCCAGCTCTGCAGAGAGTTTTCCCCGAGGACAAAGCCCTGCTGCTGGCAGCAGGCTGCATTTCTGACCCTGAGTCAGGGCAGAGGGATGTTCTCAGCACCTCTTTCAAGAGAGACTTCCAGACACCCGGGGCCCTGCACTCGGCAGCACTAATGGGGTGACAACAGCCTCTGCCTGCCCCGTGCACCAGCCTGAGGCAGGAGGAAACCACAGGCAGAAAGAAATGAAAGAAACTGCCAACACCACCACTGTTGTTTCTTTGAAGAGAAAGCCACGTGGCATTATGCAACATCCATCTGGGAAGTGACACTCATTGATAAAAATTATGCAAAGGGGTCCCGTGGCTTGGGGTTATGAGGAGAACCCAGGTCAGCTGCCAGCCTCACCCTGCAGAGAGCTGTCACTGAGCCTGGAGTGCATTGTTTTATGAGAGTAACTCAGCATTCAAAGCAGAATTCCTACACCAGTCCCCACTGATATATTTTAGATTCCAATTCCCAAATGTCCCTTCTCCCTCCAAGGATCCTGTGCTATGCCCTGCACAAAGAACCACAACCACAACCCAGGGCAGGGAGTTTTCTGTGGTCCTAAATCAAAGACAGCTCTTCTCCCTCCAGCTTAAGTGGCTTCTGCACCAGACTGGTGCAGGAAAGAGAGTGGTAAGAGCAGGAACAACCTCTCCCCCTGCAGGAGGCTGCAGCACTCCCGTGGGGGCTGGCATTCCAGAAAATCCCAAGGGGAGCAGCAGCACCAAAGAGCAGCTCTAGAAAAGCTGGAGATGTCAAGTCTCATTTTCTAAAGAATGCCTGCAAAAATGCTTTGGCTGAGCATGTGCAATTATCCAGTCACAGGCAAGAATGTTCTTTTCAATTAAAAGGAACAATTCCAGATGATATGGTCCCATGGGGATTGTGGCAGATGACTGGGCCCAAGGTCGTTGGCTCGTACAGAAACACCCTAAAGGGGGGCAGATATGTGGCAACAAATCTGGCAATATGTATAAAGGTATCTTTAAAAGTAAAGCATGTCCCAGCTCATCAAAAAGATGATTCAAGTGAGTCACAAACTAATAGGGAAGTAGATAATACAGCATTCTTCTGGAGAAACTGGCTGCTCATGGCTTGGATGGGTGCCCTGTTCACTGGGTGACAAACTGGCTGATGGCTGGGCCCAGAGAGTGGTGGGAATGAAGTGACATCCAGCCACAGATGGTCACCAGTGGTGCTTCCCAGGGATTAGACCTTGGGCAATGGAGCTGGGGAAGGGGCTGGAGCACCAGGAGTGGCTGAGGGAGCTGGGGGGGGCTCAGCCTGAAGAAAAGGAGGCTCAGGGGGACTTTCTCTCTCCAAATCCCTGACAGGAGGTTGTAGCCAAGTGTGGTTCGGACTCTTCTCCCAGGGAACAAGTGACAGGCCAAGAGGAAGCGGCCTCAAGTTGCACCAGTGGAGGTTTAGATTGGATATTAGGGGAAAAAACTCTTCACTGCAAGGGTTGTCAGCACTGTCATAGACTGCCCAGGGCAGTGGTGGAGTCACCATCCCTGCAGGGATTTATAAGACTTCCCAACTTCTCCCCAGGTGTGCCACAAATACCCTTCTCACCCTGCTCCACTGGTCACAGCAGGGACACAGAGTTGGCTCCAGAGCTCCATGGCCGGTGTCCTGATGGGAACCAGGAGGATGAAGGATGCTCCAGCCTCCCTGCACCTGCTGGAAACCTGCCCAAAAGCATCTGCATGTTCCATTTCTTCTCTTTTAAGGAATTTATTGACACGAGTGACAGGCCTGATATGGTTTGATTTCCGTTGTTGCCACCCCCGCTGCCACTGTGGGTGGATGGGTTCTGGGGGCTGCAGGAGGGATTTTGCTATGAGACAAGGGGATTTCCAGGGACCTGGAGGATCACTCCCATGGTTGGCTCTCTCCAGGGGCCTGCCCAGGTCTGGAGGACAGTGCTAAACCTCCTGGCCCCACTCTCTCCTCCTGCAACCACCCCTGTTTAACCACTTGATCCAGCTGGGACAAAACCAAACCAGCCCCTGAACCCCCCAAAGCCAACCCTTCTCCCATTGCCAACCTCACCTGCCTTTTCCCTGCCTCAATCCCCATCCCACCAGGCAGGCAGCTGCCCAGGGCATCCTTAAGGCCACGTCTGGCCAGGGGCTGCTTCATCTTGGAGGTGATCTGGGGGCATCAGCCTTGGCCCTTTGGGTTTCCCTGCCCTCCCAGGGGCTCCTGGACTATTCCTGGTTCTCTGTGGGAATGCTGAGCCCTGTTATGACCCATTTTCTCCCACAGGGTTCACATCTCTCACTCCAGGTCAGCATGAGATGGTTTATTGATTCCATTGAGGGATGTACTGGACAGTGGAGGGGCCGATGGCAGGGGAGGGGACGGAGCCAGCTCCATAAATTAATGACACAAGAACATACAGATAATTATGGGAAACAAATAAATAGAGCTTGTGGGGAAGGCAGCTTCACATGGAGGTGTTGATTAGCTTCTTTTCCTTCAGGTACTTCTGGAACCAGCTCACCTCTGGATTCACACAGACCGTCCCCTTCTCCAGCTTCAGACTTTGGGGGAAAGAGTATCCTGCATTAGCTCGGGATTGGGGGATGGATCCCTGCCAACCTGGAGGTGCCTGCAGCATCCTGCCCCCCACTTTCCCTGGAAGTGCTGACTTTTGGCAACCTCTGCAATTTTGGCTTCCTTCCCGTTTTTCTGGCTGGCAGCTGAAATAGGGGGATTTTGGGGCTATTTGGGATTAAGCAGCGAGGAGGGAGGGGAATGTGAAGAGCCAGGTTAGGGCACCCCCACCCACAGAACCCTTGGCAGGGTGGCTTGTTTTGCCAAAGGCAGAACAACTGGTAGGAAAGGTGGGTGAGCGAGGGTGAGGAGTGGGATGCCAGGGAGGAAGGCTGGGTGGGAGCTGGGGTTACTCACATCACAGCCTTGCGGGAGCAGAGGGAAGGCGTGTTCTGGTAGCTCTTGATTTTGGATGCAGGGATTTCCCGCCTGATGAACATGCCCTTGTGGCAGCACATGGCATGGGATGTGCGGACTAAGAGGAGACAAGAGGATTTAGTGCTCTCCCACGCCTGGCATGAGGGGTGTGGGTGCTCTGCTGAGGGGTGTGGGTGCTCCCCTGGGGACTCTCCTGCTCCCTCGTGCTACAAGGGGTCTCTTCTTGCATCCTCAGTGGTGATGTTTGTTCCCAGGGAAGGAGCCCCCCATTCCTCTGCCTGTGGGGGTTTGCTTGGCAGAGCTCCCCAGCTGGGGCTCTGGGGCTGAAGCCATCCCCAAGCCTGGTTTTGCTCATTTTGAACAAGTCCACGACAGGCCTATGCTGGGGCAGCTGGTGATGCCCCTCAGCCTCCCAGTCCTGTGGCAGAAGCAGGAGCTGAACTCTCATCCCCCTCCCAAATCCCATGAGTGGAGGGTCTGGGGCAGCCGTGGGGAAAGGCTCGGTGTCGGTACTTACGGGACATGCCCTGACTTCCAGTCCAGGGAGCTGCCAGCAGCAGGGTGAGCAGGGCCAAGGAGCAGATCTTCATGTCCAACACAGGGCTCAGTCAGCACCAGCAGAAGGCAGCTCTCCCTGTCTCAGGCCACGGAGAGCTACCTGCCCCTCCTGCCTGCACCCTGGCACGATATATAACCCCTGCCAGGCGTTCCATGACAGCTCTGGACTCTCCCCACGGAAAGAACCACCTGGTAAAGGGCAAGTGGTGAAGGGAAATTCCTTCTCCCAGCCTGTTTGGCCACTGAGATACCCGAGGGCTGCTGGAAAGTGTGGCGGGCTGCTGGTGATGCACAGGGGCTGGGTGTCTATTTTGAGTCTGATTATCACCACCAGCAAACCACACAGGATGATGCTCAACTTGACAGAGTCCCGTGAGAGCTTCTTTTCAAAAACCAGCCATTGCCATCAGTTCTGATGCCTCTCTTGCAATTTTGCACTGGGTGAGTGGCTCGGTGGTGGCTGGATTTGCCCCAGCCCACCCTGAGACCCACTGCTGGCTGCCCGTCATGGTGCCTGTCCCTGTCTCAGTGTCCATCGTGTGGCATACTGGGATTTTGGGTTGTCAGTGGGGCCCCGACCAGGCATCCTTGAGGGGCTCCTCTGACAGAATTTGGGCCAGGGCTTTCCCCTCAGGGTGGTGGATGAGGAACACAGGAAGCCCCCTCCTCATGGGCTGTGCCCGCCTGTTGCTGCTCTCCCTGGTGCTTCCCCAAAGCATGGATGTGGTTTGGCCCCACGCTCACCCCGGACATCCTCACAGAGACGTGGCTGTGGCTTCAGCTCTTCCTGGCTCCATACTGATCCCAGCACCTGGCTGGGAAAGCCTGCAGCAGGATCTGCCCACTCCCAAGACATTCACACAGACAGATGTTTGCATGTGTGAGATCACGTTTAATTCTGTTCAGTGTGTCGTACAAAAAATAACTGTGGAGCTGCTCCCCCTGAACCCCTCGGCTGCTGCCAGGCTGGCAGGAGCAGCCTCTCTGCCATGGAATTCATGGGGACTGGCAGAGGATCCAGACCTGAGCGTCCCACAGGGTCAGCACACTCCATCCTGGTGGGATGCCGGGGTTGGCAAAGGCCCTTTGCCTTCAGAGAGATAGGCACGGTCATCCCAGCATGGTGGGGAGGATGTCCCCGATGAGCTGCTCTGTCCCAATGTGTCCCCACAGCCACCTCTGCAGAGGGGTTGCCTTGGCGGTGTCCCCCGTGGAGAGGAGTCCCTGCTGCCTCTGGCCACCCCACTAGCTGGGGATGGAGAAGGAACTGACTTGGAAGCTCTGCTGGTACCTCTTCACCCACGCCCTGCTTGCCTGGGTGCAGATCTCCTTCCCGTTCCTCACTCTGAAACTGGGGCAGAGAGAAGATGAGGTTAGTGGGGTGGTCATACAGGGACCCCAGTGATGAGTTTCCTAGAGGAGGCACAGGAGGTCAGGATTGGACCCACCAAAGCAAGGCAAGGGGTCTGGCAGGATCTAGAGGGGCTTTACCCCCAGGGTGGATTTAAGGTACTCACATCACAGCCTGGTGTGGGCACTCAGGGCTGGTGGGGTAACAGGCAACGACGTTGTCTCTCTTGATCCTTCTCGTCTGGAAGTTGAAGCAGCACTTGTCCGGCATGGCTGGAGCTCCTGGGGGGACAGCACAAGCTCAGCTTAGCCTGGAGACCCCCACCTCCCACCTCAGCCTGCCAGCTGTAGGAACAACAGCTCTTTGGGAAGAGCCCACTTGCTCCCCATGCACGAGGCAAACCCGTCCCCACAGTCCCAGGGTCTGTCCCTGTCCCCCAGCCCGTGGTGCTCACTCTGAGCCAGGCTCTGCCAGCACAGCGTGGTGAGGAGGAGGAGGGCGCAGAAGATGCCGGTTGCCTTCACCATGGTGGATTGTGGCAGGGCTGCTCCGTGTGCCGGGGCTGGGGCTGCTCTGTGTGCCGGGCTCGGGGCTGTCTGGCTGCTTTTATGGGGGAGCAGGGGCCTGCCTTCCCCCAGGGCCAGCAGCTGCGTGAGCAGGGGGAGGACCTGGTCCCTCGCCACATCCCAAAGCACAGAGGGTAAGTGATACTGATCCCCTCCCAGCTCAACCCTGGGAAAAGAAAAATCTGCTCCCAGGCCACGCTTTTGGCATCCAATGGGCTTGGGATTTTTCCTGAGCTCCTGCCTCCAGCGTTAGGACTGATGGACAGGCTGTTCCCAAAGTTTGGCTCTGTGCCCTTATTCCCTGGGCAGGCTCTGTGCCCCATGGTGAGACCACAGGGTGGGTGAGAGAGTCTGGGGATCTCCCTTGGATGGGACCAGGGACAGGCACAGCATCCAGCAGGGTCCCTGGCAGCCCCACACACTCCCAATGGTCCATGTTCTCCCCCTGCACCGTGAAATTTTGTATCCTATTGCTTTGCATCCTGATCCAGGGGACCAACACTCAAATATGCCTCCTCCAAAAAGAAAGAAAAAAACCATAGAGAAAATAAACCCACAGAGAAGCAGCTTCTGTTGGGTTACATCAGGCACAGAAACGTCTCTGTGCTGTTTTTGGGGGTGTTTGGGGCCCACGAGGACGGGGGGAGGACGGGCAGGTGGCTCCACTTCCCTCCACTTGGTGCCAAAGCAGCAGCTCATGTTCTTGGCCTTGCTGAGCTGGGAAAGGCAGAGGCCAGTTTGGGGCTTCCCTAGTGGATTTTGCCTGGCTGCAGCTGTCAAAAAAGCCCCTTCTTCCCCCAGCCCCTGCAACTCCCAGGGTGCATCCCAGCTGCCGGCAGCTGGCGGATGGGGGGAAGCAGTGGGGAGGTGCAGACACACATTCCCACCAGCCCGGCAGTCCAGGCAGCCACATCCCACCACATGGGGCTGGGAATGCCGATGGCACCCTGTGGCATTCCGGACCCTCTGGGCTGTACTGCAGCCCTGATGTGGAGAAGACATGGAGTGCTGATCCAGGCAGGCTCCTGCCTGGATGGGAATGAGGACCACATCCATGGCGGGACCACACATAACCTTCCATTTGCTCTTCTCCAAAGCCATTTCCCAGAAATCAGCCTCAATTTGCTTGGGGTGGATGTGTGGGATAATAGGTGCAGGAAGTGGAGCGGGGTGATGCCCCAGGGCTGTCGGGTGCAGACAAGGGGGTTTGTGTTTGCCTGGCAGAGCAGAGCACCTTCCACCATCACCCAATCTCCCAGTTAATCTCTCCTCAGGGAGCAGAGGAAAGCAGATGAGAACTGGTTCTGGTCCGGCACAGCTGCCTGGCTCGCCTTTCCCTGACCGGATCCATCCTTTCCCTCATCCCTGTTCTTACCCCCACGCACCCAGGAGCTCGTCTAAGGGCGGGAAATATTCCCTGCAAGAAGAAAATGAAACATAAGGAAAACCAAACAGCGTTTATTAGTCTGGGAAAAACCCCCTTTAAAGACTCCTAGGCAAAATACTGGGATGCAGCAGGCCAAAGAAGCCCAGGAATGACATTCCCAGCACGTGCAGCATCCCTCTGCCCTGCCCTCAGGCCCTGGTGTTGGCCCTGTGGGATGAGTGGACCCTGCGGACAGGGGATTTTGGAGCATGGGAGATCTTGGAACATGGGAGATTTCCAGCCCCAGCTGGGCCCCATGATCTGGCAGCCCCTGAGCAACTCCAGGTCCCCCGGAATTGCCTGTAACTCCAGAGGAATATCCCCTTCCCATCCCCACATCTGCCAGGACGGGGCTCTACTGGGTTGCACAGACCTGGCGCCAGAGCTGGGGATGCCCATGGAGGCTCCAGAGGCAAAACCAGGTGTTCCTGTGGCTCTTGATGGATTTAGGAGGGACTGGTGTTTGCTCCTCTCCAGCTCATCAACCCTCTTGTGTTTGACACAGAGAAGGGCACAGGACACAGGCAGACCCACTGCTGTGATGAGTGGAACTAGTCTCTGCTCTGGACTGGTCCCCTGGTCCCACATGTGACCCGGGCTGAAAAGCACCCTTTTCCTCCCTTTTCCCCCTTGTTTCATGGGGGGCTCCTTGCCAGCACTCCCATCTCTGGCTCCAGACTTTGCTGCAGAGGTGTTGGCCTCTGCAAAACAGATGGGACGGATCCCGCTCCTGCAGAGGGGGAGGTGGCAAATCTGGGGGCTGGCAGAGGCACTTAGGACCCCGCTGGGGGCTGAGCTTTCATCACCTCTTCCAAAAAATTTGCTGGTGCTCCAAATCTCCCACTTCTGGGTGGGATGTGGATGTCCTGGCAGGTGCTGCAGCCCCACGGCTGCCCCGTGCAGGGTTTGCTCCCCACGACTTCTCCTCATCGCTGAACAGAAAGCAGAGCAGCTCCTGGGGAAACCTCTGCCTCTACCAGCAGCGTCGGCGCTTAATCACCCTCCGTGCTCGGAACCAGCCTCGCCGAGCTGTGCAGCGCTGGGGCTGCCAGAGAGAGCTGCTGGGCACGCCGGGACCTGCACTCGGCAGCACAGCCCCCCTGGAAACACCGCTTGCCCCTGGGTGAGAGCGGCTTTCCCAGCCGCGTGTGCAGACGCTTTATTGATGCTGCGGCACTTGCCGTTTCAGCCGATCGATAATCCCGCGGGGGGAAGATCTGAGTGCAGCGCCTGCGGGACGGGGCGGCTGCTGCAGCTGGGGCAGCCAAAGTCACGACCGTGATCAAAGCAGCTTTTGCCAGGTCAGGTCTGCTTCCATAAAGAATTTGTTTGATTTATTCTTCTCCCTTTTAAGTCTTGGTCGGGTCAGCTTTTCCATTATCTTGCTGGGGCTGATGCTGAGACAACCACTGAATTCACACCCCTCTGTGTGCTATTTCCTTTTTTAATGTCCTTGTCCCCCAGGACTTCCCCAGCTGCTTGAAGAGATGGGTTATATTGGGATGGGTCACCCACTCCCGTCCCTGGAAGAGGTGGCTCATAATCCTCCCCTGCCACCCACACCCCTGCAGAGCCCAGCTGGCTCCTGCCCAGATGCCATCACTTCCCCAAAAAGCAGTGGAGGTATTTATTTTTTTTTATTCCAAGGCTGGAAAACCCAGTGGGCATCTGCATCCATCCCCAAAGCTGCTCACTCAGGTGGGAGCAGGTTGTGCAGCCCCTGAGGCGGGAGGGGGTACCTGGAACCCTGAGGCTGTGGGGATGAGCCCATCTCCTGCTGCTGGAACATGCAAACATACAGAAATAAGATGGAATTGGTGCTGCCATCCTTCTCCAGGGGGGATTTCACCAGGAAGGGCATGGTTATCCCCCAGTTTCAGCCATAGGAGCAATGTTGGACACGCCACAGATGTTGCTGGAAGAAGCTGCAGCCTCATTGCCAGGCCTGGATCAGGCTGTCTCACCCTCACCCACCTATCCTGGGCACAAGGAAGGTCTAGCAGCGATGTTCCCCATCTGTGGGAATTGAGAACCCAGCAAAACAAGTGGCATTGTGTGGCTTTGATGTAGATCTCTGGGGGTTTTGGGTCCTCTCTTGGTTTTGGAGTCCTGGCTGGCGGCTGTGCCAGGGCAGCCCCTCCACTGCCCAGCTGCCAGTGCCCTACATCCCACTGGCCCAGTAACAGAGAAAGCAGCTCCAAAGGGAAGGGTTTTCAACCCAAAGCAGTGTGTGGGGGGGGTGCTCAGAACACCCATGGCAGAGCTGATCCCGAAGGTGAAAAGCTCTCATCCGGGATGACAATCCCTGTCCCCATCACCCAAGGGAAGGGGCTTTGTGGTACCCATGTTGATCCATTCAGGAGACTTTTCCCTCAGCATTTCATCCTCTCTCAGCTGTCCCAGGCTGAACTGTCTCCCTTCCTCGATGTATCTGCTGTGTTCTGACTGACTCATTTCCCGTGTCCTTTGGCCCCCGGCATCCTGACAGCCCCCGCACAGGGACCAGCCCTGGCTCAAAACCTGCCTTCACACCAAACTCCTCTGCTTGAGATTGACATCAGAGCTGGGCTGCTCTAGTTGAGTGATCTCTTCCCTCTGCTCCCCAACCCTGGCCTTTGAAAACCCAGACTTGAAAATAAACCCAAACCCCCATCTGACTCCCGATCTGCACCCTGATTTCTGCAGGTTGCACATGCCTCGTGATTTCCCAGCGACCTGGAAGGCACGAAGCAGGTGGGGAAAAAAAAACAACAAGGAAACCTAAAAACACAAGTAAGATGCTCAAAAAATCCTCTGCATCCAGGAGCTGGGGGCAAAAGTAATTAAAAAATCCACACTAGGGACTTGCTGGGCTCTCTGGATTTTCTCCAGTTACAAGACCCAAAGCTAAGCAGTGCTGTCAGGATGCAGGGAGGCAGTGATGGGATCAGCATCTCCAGGGCGTGGGGGATTCTGTGGCACCTCCCTGAGTCCCCCCACGGTCTGGCCCTGGGTCCCCGTGGTGTTTTCCCAGCTTATCAGCAGCTACGATCTGCCTTTGTGGCCTTGGTGACTGTTAAGTTTTCACACATATTTTCTGACACCACCTGACCAGGGAGGAAAAGACACCCCACGGGAGATGAATTCATTTCCTCCAGCCCACCCCAGGGTATTTTCCTCGTGTATCCTACGCCTGGCATCGCTCCGAGCTGGTGGGAGCTGGAGCCGGTGTGGCCACGCAGCAGCCCTGCCATGGACACTCTGTCCCCTTGGCGTGAGTTGCTTTTGGGAATTTACCTAAAATACTTTTACAAATATTTCCTGGGCTGGCTGCGGGAAAAACCTCTCTCCTGCTGTCCCGACGAGTTTGCTGCGGGGGAAATTCAAAGTGAGAAATGTGGGATGTGGCACTTCCATGGGGATGGGGGGGGGATGTGAGGAGATGATGGGGATGATGATGGGGATGAGCACCGGCTGTGCAGGGCTGGGTCCCGCTGGCCTTTGTCATTTTGGGGACCCCAGGGCTTGCTCGGGGTTCATGGCGGTGGCTGAGCCA